GTAGAGAAAGAATGGTGATCACGGTGATATAAAAATTGCATCAAACGGAGGCCGGGAAGGGCCTCGTCGGAGGCAAAACCCGAGGAGGGGCGCGGGCGGCGGCGCCGCTGGCATCGGCCGCGTATTCCGGCAGTTTGGCCGGGATTTTGGCTTCGATTTGGCCACAGGAGGAATCAGCGTGGAAAAATGAGTCGGGGGTATGAAATTTACCTCGATCGGCGGTCGAAAATTTCCCCGGTGCGGCGGCGGGTGGCGGCGGTCGGCCTCTGGTTCGTCTTCTCCGGCGAGCGGCAGGCGGCTAGGGTTTGTGGTCTGGTGTGGGGGTTCTATTTATAACCCCTTGCCTTTTGATCTCAGCCGTCCATTTCGTTTTAATCTGGACCGTTCGTTTTTGATTGAATCTGGGCCGTCCGTGCGATTGTATCTGGGTCGTCCGATCGCGTGATTGATCTGGGCCGTCGGATCGCACCCACGCGGATCGCCAACGTGGCCCCTTTTCGGAGCGACGTGGTCTTGCCACGTGGCAGACCCCGGTTGGCCGGGACTGCTGACGTGGCTGCCGACGTGGCTTTTTTTTTTTTCTCCTTCTCCTTCTCGGTCCGGGTGCTACAGTTCGTAACCGATTAACTTTAATTGATCACTTTTAAATTGGTCAAATAAACTAATTGTAACGCCTCGATTTTTTTTTTTTTGTATCAGCGGCGTTACATCAACTTTATTAGTATACGTGGCATAACATGTATCATCCCATAAACAAATTCGGTCATACACGTAGAAAATGTTCAAATCAAGTCATTCAATTTCTAAAATTTCTCTATTGTATATCCGTCATTATAGTAGCTTACGAATTGACAATTTCTCGTTTCAAAATGAGTTACTTGCTACCAATTATGTAATTATTCCGTTGTACTAGTCACACTCTCTACTCCATCTCCTATATACGCTAAGTTCGGAAGCATGCAGCTCTGGTTCAGTCTTCGATACTACTTCATCTGTAAGTGATAGGTAATGAGTATACACAAACTCAGTAAAGTAAATTCAAATTATAAACATGGCGTGGAAATCCAATTAAATGCCTAATCTCCTAGTTTTCCTCCTGTTCCATTGGTCATGCCATCTTTTTTACCCATACTCTCATCCTCTTACTCATCTACCCCTATCGTAATTTCCACATCTCCTCGATGAAAAATTATCAACTCTACTATGTGTAGTCAACACATTAAACCCCCCCCCCATCAATATTTCCAATGTGTTGTCCCCTCAACCCTGACCCGGCCACTCACCCGCACTGTTACTCCTAGAAAAAATCCCCCCAATCGTCACCAATATCGGCGACCCCTTTTTCTCACCACTCGACCCCAACTGGCCACCCACATACACTGTTAGTATTTCCTTCCATCACCAATATCGGTGACTCAACTCGTACTAATCTGGCAACTCCCAGACATCACCAATATCGGTGACTGACTTACATTTTTAAGTAACGACAACCAATATCGGCGTTCCAATCCTAAGCCAATATCACAGCTAATAAGATACCATCTCCACAATCATACTCAAGTACAACATATACAAGCATATTTAATAAACATACAAGTTAATTCAATTTAAAATATTTATAAGTAATCAACATCTCTATATAATTTTTAAATATACAATCACACTTATATTGCGCGCACACACACACTCGTTGTTACTGT